ATAAAAGGAAGAAGATGATTGTTTCTTATGCTCATGTTGTTTTTGGTATTCTTGGTAAATGTTTTATGAAAGTGTAGGGATAGGTGAAAAGACGAAAATGCCCTCATAAAAGTTCTTAATGGTTCCACCTTTAAGGTAGTTAAGTTGAGCGACCAATAATGCAAATGAAGGATCAAGGATGCCAAAATGAATATTGTGGAATAAAGATGTTACTTTTAAAACACCATAGCGACCAAACAAATAATTTAATTGTAATATAATTAAGGAGAATAAAGGTTAATATTTTATTATCTCCTGCTCCTATATTTTATTCCCTCACCAAGTTCATATTCTACATATTTCATTCCAACAGATTTGGCGTCGTAAGTGGATCAGTTTTGTAGTAATTTAAAATCCATCTTAGATGTTCCATTGAACCGCATAGCTGACCTGTATGACGATTTTTCTTTATATGGTTACATGTATTTGAAAAGATAAATGGGAGTCCTCATCAAATACTCTAAAAGAAAATTAAGGATCGGTCCCTAATAAAAGATTATTGTGTAAACTAAAAAAAAAACCAACACAAGATATTAAAACCAAATAAATTTACGGTGGAAGTATTAGCAAAGAAGAAAGCATGAAATATCCATTTAGAAGCGTACATGAAAAACATATACAGATGCACAACAAGGGTGCTTATTTTACTTGAACTTGGTATGCCACCTTATTTTACTAGTCCCTCATCGAAGATACTAGTTACGATTTAAAAACATATAAAATACATACGAATACCACATTTAGAAGACAAAATGACGTACGACCGACCATTTAACATTTGTTTCCATCAAACACAACATCCATGCTGCCATATATCATGTTACGGGTGAAGAATGACACCCAAAGAGTCGACGTAATTCCCGTATTTTCCATAGAATCCGGAAATCTTCCCGCGTGTGACCCCGAACGAAAAATCAGTTCCTGGGTTTGTGCCGTATTGCCCATAAGTGCTGACGTTGGTCTGGAAAGTCACTGACGTAATCACGGTGGAGCCATCAAATGATCCGACACGTCCACTAATCCCGATGAGGAACTCATTGTCAGCGAATGTGATCTGGAACCCAAATATAAATATCATGACTGCTATATTATGAAATAACAACCTAACTTCGATACATACGTGACAGATGAATTGATGAAAGCTTACCGAATGAGACGAGCCACCATCGCCACCGAATTTTTCAGAAATATGAGTGCCATACTGATCCTTGTAAGTGAAGCGGATGAAATCTAGAGCATCTCCACTGCTTAAGTCTATCTTGATAAGTCTTGCACCATCAGGTATTATGAATTCCCACGTATTTACACCGGTTCCACCCTCACCTCCCCATGGTGTACTCCATACGGCACTCGCTGCCTGCATATGGATCCAAAATAAAATACAATTGAAAGAGTTGATAGAATGTTAGCAATGAATAAACATTTTAAACCTGACATTCCCAAATATAGATAACAAATGAACTCTAGAAAATATGGTGAAAGTCTGTACCATTTTGGTCTGAGTGTATTTTCAGAGAAGCTGGGCGATGTTCCTTGTGTGGAACTGAAGTTGTACATCTAGCCGGTTACGTGCTTGACTATATATAGACACCATCTTGGGTTGTATAGTTGAATAGAGGAGTTTGAATTAACGAGTTGAGGTGGCATGTCCAAATGATTTCACGAGATTCACGTTTTACAATTGCTAAAAGCTAGACGTGATTGCTGGAAAAAATATATCCGTTAATACAAAATATTTTCAAAATAAAAAATATGATTAAAAAACTCTTATGCGTAAGAATTGTCATCTTATTGATATTTCCTTTATCCATAATTACAAGCAACATCAAACAAAAACTACGGCTCGATCTATTCATTTACCCCTATTGCCCTCCTACTGATTTAACTATTTGGTGTTTTCACACCCAAACATAGGATTAATAAACGGAAATTTCATCCATACGACTTTTTTTTACTTAATTATTAGGCTAGAGAGTCGTTCGACAAGGATTTACGTGGCTTCTGCACACACTGAATACCCACTCAACTATTATTTTATAGGCAGTTTCCTTATACCCCTTATAGACTACCTTCATGAACGAGACATACTAGCGATTCGACTGACAGATAATAATATATATAAAGTGTATTTTAATCTTTTCAAAATACTAGGTTTATTTAATTGTTAAATTTTGAAAATTAATAATCAATTAATTTAAAATTAAAATTAACCAAAAATAGATTTAATATTAATCTATTAATTAACAATTAATTAAAACATTAAATCAAATAAGGATTAACTGATTAAATTAATCAAATAATTTAATCGAAATCCTAACCCTCTAACTTTTCAAAATTAGGGTATAGGAGTTATCCAATTTTATATTTATCCCTGTTAATCAAATTAAACTAAAAATTATCTAAAATAGGAAACTGTAACAAACAAGAAATTTTCAAAAACTTAGGAAAGAAGGCTAGGGTTTCAAAAACCCTAATCCTAATTTCGAAATCCAAAGAGAAGGGGCTAGGGTTTCGAAAAATTCTAACCCTAGTCGAAATTTTTGGCCTTTTAGGGTTTAATTTCAATAAACCCTTATTGATTAAATTCAACAATTATATATATTCAACTGAAAACAAACCAAGTGATCTGATACCACTGACAGGTTTTATGTAAAACAAAGAAACTTAAAACCCTTACGTTCACATGCAACCAAAAGGATTTATGTTTTCACTATTGAACCTATAACTAAGAACATCAAACAAGAAACCCTAGAAACCCTAGGTATATTTCAAAAATTAATAAATGGTTTAGGTTTACATACCTTGTTGTTATTGTAGTAAATAACAAAAGTCCTTCACTTGTATATCTTTTTGAAGCAAGCACCACAATTGTCGTACCTCTAATAACTCACACCCAAACCAACAAGAATGAAGACTATAGAAAGAGGAAATGGGAGGTAAGAATTTCGGGTATTACTTTGGAATTATGAGTGGCCAAAAATGCAAGGGTTAAGGGTCCTTATATAGTGGTCCAAAGAAATCTCAGATAACCCCGATTTGAATATTAAATTGATATTTCAAATCTAGTATTTATTTCATTTTTTATTTATCCACATGAGATATTCTAGAAACTGTAGGATATCCCCCCAAAACCATCTAACCCTAATGGTGGAAGGTTCTAGAGTCTTTTGTTCTACTATTGAAGAATTGCACTTTAAACCTTGCACTTTTAATTAATTTTATTAATCCCAAAATTAATTCTAATTAATTTCTGATTAATTATTAATTAAATAATAGCTTTTATAATTAATATATTATTTTCATAATACATTAATAAACTTTTATATTAATTTATTAATCTCATAATAAATTAATCTCTCTCGCTAACAGTCACCATGTCCAATTGCTAGGTTTGAGTGCAACCCAAACGTACTATGCTACCATCAATTCAAGTATATATCAATTATAGGTATGAGCTTAGACTCCTAATCCAACAATCGTTACACCTCTTGAACCTTCACGCATGCAACGATGATCCTTCCTCTACTTCACTGTCTATCATGCGTAACGATTGATCAGATTTTACACACAAAACCACATCTTCCAAGTCAAACATAACCTTCTTCCCCGTGACTTCATGAGTCACCATCATTAGAGAATATTCAACAATTACTAATTGGGTATGTAACTAGGCCATAGGCGTCACCGCAAAAACACAGCCCATGCCCTGGGTCGCAAGAATTTTCGCCAGAGCCTCACCGAAACACTAGCCACACGTCGAAATAAAACTCAACATCCTCCACTCCTCCGCCCCCTCGGTGTTCCTTCGATTCTACAGTTTCCCTTGTTCGATACACAAGAACAAGTCACAATAAAGATGGCGGCGATCGGAATTACAGACAGTCACCAAGAAATCTTGACTCTTAGCTAGAGTTTTTGCTGTATTGAAAGAAAATCACAGCACCTCGCCTCTCTTTCGTTGTTACTCTCAATATCTCCCCCTCAACACCCTCTCTTTACTTTAAGCCTTCAATCCAAAAACATTTAGCAATTTTGATTGTGATTAAAATGGTTAGACGTAACTGTCGACAATAAGAAGTGATCGTCGAAATTCATTGAATTGATTAAACGCATGAGTTAAGTGTAACTCTCAAGTTACACTCATGGTCCCTTATCTTTTATCAGATAAACCACAACTACATCATTCTTATTTAATTCTAAAATTTCATTTTTTTTCCCAAAATTACATTCTACCCCTTCTACTTTTATAACTTTTAAATGGATTATATTTTTTTCTTAAATATTTCCACCAATTAACTATTTTTTATTACAGATTTTAATTTTGAATTAGCTCTTTTAAATACAACTTAACACCCCTTTTGATTTAATATATTTTTTATAACCTTGAATCGAAGTGCCTTTACGAAATAAACATTCGTGTGATGGAAACTAACATCGTTAACAAAAGGATTTTTGGGTTGTTATAGTAAAGCCACAACTCACCCTATAATATCATTTACGGGTCACTAAAACTTTAGGGTTCGTGACTTCGTTGATACGTGTACAGATCCTTTGTTTTCCATAGTATGAGTTCATACTATCTTCCACACCTACCCGTATTTTTCTCAGAGCATCGTCGCGAACCACCCAACCACAAAGGTCAATAGCTAGGATAAGCATACATCCTATACTCACTCTCTCTCTCTCTCTCTCTCTCTCTCTCTCTCTCTCTCTCTCGACAGTAGCTAATCATTCCTCAAGATGGCCTCCTACAAACCATACTCATTCATGAAACTTCCACTAACCCTGCAGTCGCTCGTGTATGCTAATCATACATTACTCTGGATTAGATAATCAGTCGAATACCCGATTCTTCCTGAAACAACCCAAAAACACAGTCCAAAAATTTCATTTTAATTTAATAATAAAACCATAGTCATCAAACATCATATAAAAGTCATAAACAGTATATCTCAAAATATCATAACAACTGTCAAAAATATCAGAGTATAAACATCCCAGGCTGAATAAATGGTGTGTGCAATACAATCATCCCGAGCTCCTCTTTTGAACACTGAAGTACCAGAAACCAAAACTGAAAACCGTAAGCACGAAGCTTAGTGAACTCCCCAATCTACCACATACCATACACATAAGCACATATACTGGGCTCCCGCCCGCTACATCGAGCCCCGCCCGGCATCGGACTAGCTTCCGCATCAGGCCCCGCCCGGCATCAGGCCCCGCCTAGCATCGAGCCCCGCTCGGTATACAGATCTGTTTCTACTAGACCCCGCATGACTCCGGGCCCCGCCCGCTATACACAAACAAACAATCACATATAATCATGTTATTACATAACAAACAATCTCTATACTATAACTGCTAGTCTCAAGGCCCCGCCTATCTTAGGCCCCGCCCCTACTCTGCTACTAATGAGATATGGAACCCCATCCACACTCAGCTAGTGATGAGATACGGGCCCCCTCCCACACTCATCTCCCTACCAGGCACATACAAGTATCACAAAGACAACAAGTATAGCTAAACATACACTACTGCCTCGGGTACCACCCGGCATCGGACCGAAGTCCGAAACATATAAACTGCATCGGGCTAACCCCGACATCGGATCGAAATTCGGAACTACTAACAACTAAACGGGCCGTCATTGTGGCCGTAGACCCGTTCCTACAGGAGAAAACTCACCTAGCAAAGTTGACTGTAGAATACTGCGAATAACCCCTCGCTGTGTAACGACCCAAAAATCAAGGGTAAAAATTTCATTTTTAATATAGCTAAAACATTGATACCATTTATTTCAAACATTTCAAATCATTGTTAAGTAAAACATTTATCATACTTCATCCCAAAATCATTCATTGCAGATAACATAGTGTGATGCGCTGCGATCGAGCCGGCTCCTTTCCTTTGAAAACAAAGTACCTGAAACCAAAACTGAAAACCGTAAGCACGAAGCTTAGTGATTTCCCCAGAGCATACCCCACACACAATCCACATATCATATTAGTTATAAAAGCTACCTCTACTACATAACACATATCAAATTAGCTATAAAAGCTACCTCTACCATATAACACATATCATAGTAGCTACAAAAGCTATCTCTACCATTAGCCGTAAAGGCTATCTCTACCGTTAGCTATAAAAGCTATATATACCATTAGCCACAAAGGCTATCTCTACCATTAGCCATAAAGGCTATCTCTACTATTAGCTGTAAAGGCTATCTCTACCATTTGTCGTAAAGGCTATCTCTACCATTAACCCTAAAGGCTATCTCTACCATTAGCCACAAAGGCTATCTCTACCATTAGTTGTAAAAGCTATGTCTACCACGTATCACTGCATAAATATGCCACACACCTCTACACAGAAAGTATACCAACTATCATAAAATGGGCCGACCTTGGTGCCTTAGACCCATTGGTATGGTGAGAAGACTCACCTCGAATGCAGAAGCTTCCCGAATGAAATCCTTAGCTGCTGCCCTGTCCACTTCCCGAGCTATCAATAACAACCAGTATACCCAATTAGCAATTGGGTCCCATACCATAATCCTTA